CCTTCACACATGATGGCCTTCAATCTGGGGCTTCTCTCACCGAAGCTTCTCACAGCAGACCTACTCATAGTAAAGGTAAAGGTAGTTCCCTGACATTAAGTCCAGTCATGTCTGACTCTGGGGTGTGGTGCTCATCTCCATTTCTAAGCCAAAGAGCCAGCGTTGTCCGTAGACACCTCCAAGGTCATGTGGCCGGCATGACTGCATGGAGTGCCGTTACCTTCCCGCCGGAGTGGTACCTATTGATCTACTCACATTTTTTGCATGTTTTCGAACTGCTAGGTTGGCAGAAGCTAGGGCTGACAGCGGAAGCTCATGCCGTTTCCTGGAATCGAACCTGCAACCTTTCGATCAACAAGCTCAGCAGCTCAGTGCTTTAACCCACTGCGCCACCGGGGGCTCCATAGACCTACTCATACTGGGGCCTAATAATGATGATAATAATAATAATAAACCTTTATTTGTACCCCGCTACCATCTCCTGAAGGACTCGGTGCAGCTTACAAGAGGCCGAGCCCAAATACAATAGTAAAAACAATAACAACAACAACAACAACAACAGCAAAATAACTCAAAAAACAAAGCAATGACATTAACAACACACAATGATGCAATTAAAATCAATGGCAGGGCCAAATGTAATAATTAAAGTTAAAAAGTACTAATACTGAGGCCTTCTCACACTGAGGACTCGCTCAGACTGATGGCTGCTAAGCTACAGGCACACCTGCTTATATTGAATTGTATCTTTGTATCTTTCAGTACTTGATCATTGTATCTCTCAGTACTTGATTCACATTTTTGTAATTTAACATACCTAGTTAATTTTTAATATTTCTGACAGTAGTGTTGTGACTGGATCATTGATTAAGGAGCCTCGGAGACCAGCATTCGAATCTTGGCTCAGCCCCTCTGCAAGTCACACTTTTTCAGCCTTAACAGAGGGCAATAGCAAACCTACTCTGAATAAACCTTGCCAAGAATAGGATAGGTTTGCCATAAACTAGAATAGTTTTGAAGTCCCATAACAACAACAAGTAGCATGGAATATTTCAATGATAGTTTTGGAATTAAGGCCAATCATTTCTGCGTCACGGATGAAACATTCAGTCCTTGATTGTGGAGCCTCGTGCAGGTGAGGTGTTGAGTCTTATGGCATTCCACTTATCTCTGTGCACAGTTGAACTGTTCCATAACCAGGGCTTGACACATACCTGGATGAAACACACAATTAAACTCTTAAGAGTGTCATTGGGAGAGATATCCTACTCCTAGAAAATTTATGTAGGGCAGACACATTCCTTCAAGTGATTCAGCACAAAAGCAGTTTTAGTTTGTGGAGCTATCAGGTGTATATTAAATATAAAAGTTTGACTTTGGTACCTGTTGATGTTTGGTTCCAGGACACCCCACAGATACCAAAATCTTTGGATGTGTAAGTCTCATTATATACAGTGATGTTGTGAAATAATGTCCCTTATATAAAATGGCAAAAATCAGATTAAATTCAAACAAGGACCTTCTTCATTCAGCATTTTTGTTTCCCCCTGTGGCCCAAGAGAAGCCCATAGATTAACTACAACTTGGATGGAGATGAAACAATATTGACTAATAAATGTTAAGTAGCAGAAAGAAAGGGTGTGGATGGGAAGCAGAACCTTTTGAGACTTACTAATATATGTTGGCTTAGGTTTCATAGGTTCCAGTCCATCTCCTTGAAGAATTTAGTCGTGTGGTGCATATTTTCAATGCTAGGTTTTAATGAGTTGAAACAGTGGGAAAACTTTTCCTCAGGCATTGTTCTGACAAAAAAGTGATGAATTGCATGTATTTTTCTCATTTAAATTGATCTCAGGGCAGTGTGTACTATTTAACAATGAAAAAGAGAACGCTCATTTTTGAGAGCCATAAGTTGAGCTCTGTCCTCTTCAGTTCTGTTTTATTTGCATTTTTGTGTCTATATTAGTCTTGTGCATTCAGGGTAAACCTTGATCAGTTTGGTGTCCTAGCTTTCAGTGGGCCCCCCGATTCATCCATTTTTAAGGAGCCTCCCAAAATCAGGAGGGCAGATATCTGTTTTTGCTTTTTGATGCCAAAATAGCCATTTTCTCTTGGCTCATTATTGGTGGGGGGCTTCCCACCCAGGCTCTCCTTCCTGGCATGTGTGTTAAGGAGGCTTTTTATCGGGGTTTGCCTCACCTTCATCTGGGGAGTCGAAGGGCTCCCTATTTGAGGCACCCCCGAGACAGAGATAAGAGGAGAGAAGAGGGATTGCTTGTGCTCTTGGTGAAAAACTAGCCAGTTCTGCTGCCATTTCTCCCTTTCAATTGGGAAACCTACCTTGCACCACTGCTGAAGTCACTTCATTGGAGCTAAGGGTGGACCCATGGTGGGATCCTTGGTGCAGGGCTGGGATGTACTGTGTTCACTGGCTGCTTGCTGGGGCTTGAATCATAGAATCATAGAATCAAAAAGTTGGAAGAGACCTCATGGGCCATCCAGTCCAACCCCCTGCCAAGAAGCAGGAGTATTGCATTTCAATCATCCCTGACAGATGGCCATCCAGCCTCTGTTTAAAAGCTTCCAAGGAAGGAGCCTCCACCACACTCCAGGGCAGAGAGTTCCACTGCTGAACGGCTCTCACAGTCAGGAAGTTCTTCCTCATGTTCAGATGGAATCTCCTCTCTTGTAGTTTGAAGCCATTGTTCCGTGTCCTAGTCTCCAAGGAAGCAGAAAACAAGCTTGCTCCCTCCTCCCTGTGGCTTCCTCTCACATATTTATACATGGTTATCATGACCTCCACTGCATTTGCCGGCAGTCTTGCTCTATAACCATGCAGGCCCAGAAAAGCACTGGCAGGTGTGGGTGCTTTCTGGGTCTGCATGCCACACACTCACTCTCTTTCCAAGGAGAATGTGTGTGTGGCGTGCAGGTCCAAAGTGCCCACACCTGCCAGGGCCTGCAGCCGAGCGCCTCTTACTTGGCCGTAGGCTGTGGCAGGCGCGGGCGCTTTGGGCCTGCACACCACACGCACACTCTCCTTATAGGGAAGGGGGAACTGCAGTGAGAAAAGGCAGCGGAGCTGCATAGTTTTCATCCTGAGTGCAATCTCTCTTCTCTCCTCTAAAATAACTGTGATGCCGAAAAGCAGGCTTGGAGCTGGTACCTGCTTCCACATGCTTTCATGTCAAGTTTATTTTTGTACCAAGAGGGGCCTTCCCATTCCATGCCTCCAAATGAATGAAATGAATGAATGAAATGAATTAAACGAATTTTGCGCACATGACTAGTATATATGTAGCCCCAGCAAATGGACTAAAGATAAAAATATGTCCCACTTCCCAAAATATGACCCTCCAGTCTCCATTTTCCTGTTTAAATTGCAGGCTTCAATAGTAGCAGTAAAACTTGAGTGTAGTTTAATTTTATTTATTTATTTAGAACATTTTAGCCGCGCCCTTCTCAACCTCCAGGGGGACTCAGGGCAGCTTACAATTGGCAACAATTCAATGCCGTCATAAAATACAATAGCAAAAATAACAATTAAAACCATGAACATTAAAATAAAATTAAGCAGTATACTTACAATCCATGTAGCTATTGCCAGTCTGGTGGCTACTTATCTAGTCATATACTAATGATAACTCTGCTTCACTTATCCAAATCCACTTCCAAGCCATAGTCAAATATTATCCATTGTCCTTTAACCTGATTGCCCGAAGGCCTTGTCCCACAACCACGATTTTAAATTATAGTAATGTTTTTAAAGCCTTCAGGAGAAATGCTAACACTGTAGTAGGACTGAAATATCAGCCCCATAGTATCCTCCCCAGTGTGATATGAAGCTGAGTCCTGAAACTGAGCAGAAAGATAAATAAACAACAAATAATAACTTTGACCAAAGGAAGCCCAGCAGAGCTTTCAGCCCATCCTGTTTGTAGCCCTGGTCAAGACAGATAAAGTTTATTTCAGGTATCAATATTTCATAGCAATTCAGATACATAGAAAAAGAATGAGCAATATCTAATGCATATATGGTAATCCACATTTAAGGGCTATGTGACCAGTACAGAATGTAATCAGATATTGTATTGTCGAAGGCTTTCATGGCTGGAATCACTGGGTTGTTGTAGGTTTTTTCGGGCTATATGGCCATGGTCTAGAGGCATTCTCTCCTGACGTTTCACCTGCATCTATGGCAAGCATCCTCAGAGGTAGTGAGGTCTGTTGTAACTAGGAAAAAAGGGTTTATATATCTGTGGAATGACCAGGATGGGACAAAGGACTCTTGTCTGCTGGAGCTAGGTGTGAATGTTTCAACTGACCACCTTGATTAGCATACAATGGCCTGACTGTACCTAGAGCAAACTTTTGTTGAGAAGTGATTATCAGAGATTATTTGTTGTTTAGAAGGATGTTCTCAGAATTCGGCACTATAGCCTGAGCACATAATATCGTGATTACAATATTTTAAATGCAGTTTTTGTGTGTGTGTCAGGAGTGACTTGAGAAACTGCAAGTCACTTCTGGTGTGAGAGAATTGGCCATCTGCAAGGATGTTGCCCAGGGGACGACTGGATGTTTAACTATCCTGTGGAAGGCTTCATGTCCCCGTATGAGAAGCTGGAGCCGACAGACAGGAGCTCACCCTGCTCCTCGGATTTGAATCACCAACCTTTTGGTGAGCAGTCCTGCTGGCATAAGAGTTTAACCCATTGTGCCACCAGGGGCTCCTTTTAAAATGCAGTCCAAATGGCAAAATTCAGCAAAACAATGCAGGTCATGGGTGAGGTGTCAAATCTTGTCAAAATGGAGTTAATTAGGCTAAATTTACAACAGATCAGCTGAATTTGTATTTCTTATTTTCTGCCAATAACATCAGAATTTAGAATCATTTTTATTTTGTAATCTGTCTTTTTCAGGAAATTGCTCCAATTCTAAATAGAGATCCAGACTGTTGTTCTGAGTCTAACTGAATATACAACTCTTCTTTGTTTCAGATTGATGATCATAAAAATGGCTTAGCAGGAATGATGCCTGAAGCTGAGGTTGCCGATTCGGTGAACAATTTAGGAACAAACCAGGCCCTGACTTCAGATTACGTAGACTCCGGCTATGAGGCTGGTCAGTTGAATCCCAGCTTCCTCCAGAAGGATGACCATCAGTTAGCCACACACTCGCTGACCAATTCCTTCCCAGTGAAACCACCTCTTCAGGATGTTTGGCACTGGGAGATCGAGAACCTTGTGAGCCGTGCTTTGGCCCCTCACTGTGAAAATGGGAAGGACCTGTACCTTATTTCAGGAGCCGTTCCTTCTTCCCACAAAGTGAACGACAAAGTGTCAATCCCTGAATCTCTGTGGTTAGCGGCCTGTTGTGACGACGGCTCTAACACCTGGTCAATGGGATTTATTAAACAGGCAGCTGCTGAAAAACGTTTGGAAGATCTAAGCCTGGAAGAGCTCGAAAAGAAACTTCCAGAAGGAACCCGACTGTTCAAGAATAACTGCGGCCAAGAAAGACATGATCCCAAGAAACTAGAGCCGGTGGGGAAATCTGTCAAAAAGATCAAGGCTGAAAAACCAGCGCTACAATCCAAGAAGTCCTTGCCGATGCCACACCAAGCCCCAAAAGAGGAGGAGTGTGGCTTTATGAAGAAGCTGTTTTACTTTGTTATCACCCCTATATGCAGACTTCTGACCTTTGCAATTTACATGGTGGTCCAAATAGTGAAATTTATATTTTACATCTTCTCGACTCTCCTGCACATGCTTATCACAGGGCTGTGCACTTTCCTCAAGACAATTGCCTCAGTGTTGATGCATGTTTTCACCAGCCTGATCCACGTCCTGGTCAACATAATGAACGGCCTTGCCAGGAATATCTACAGAGTTCTCATGGTTATCTATAGGATTGTGTGCATCCCATTGAATCTCCTGGTGGATATTCTCTCTTTCCCTTTCTACGTCCTGGGTGCCGTTCCCGCTCTGCTCCATGACATCGCCCGAGGTGTCAGCGGGCTCTTCATGTTGCTGATCAACGGCATCACAAACTTTGTGAGGTGCCTCAGTTGGCTCGTTACGCACATAGCCAAAAGCATTCTTCCTCATATGTCCACTTAATACTTGAAAGAAAGAAAAGAATCACGACGACAACACGCAATCCTTCTCCCTCCAAAAACTCCCTGTGAAGCAATACTTTCCAATGCGTTGCTAATCTTCAGCTTTTCCGATACGTATTTATTGTGGTGCATTACCAGTGATGAACCAATGTTCTGGTAACATGGGTGAGCTACATGAGCCTTGAGAAAAAAATTATGACCAAATAAAATATTAAAACTATTGTAAAAAGAAAGAGTTCAGCTTTAGTTGGCTGATTGAGCCTTCAGTATCATGTCAAGCCTTTTGAGAAACACAAACGCTTCTAAATTATGAGGAAAACATGAACTGTTTTGACTAGAATGTATGAAAATGCATATATAGAATATATTAAAATATGTATATAGAGTATTTGAAAATATAAGTATAGACTAGTGTTTCTCAGCCTTCCTAATGCCGTGACCCTTTAATACCGTTCTCATGTTGTGGTGACCCCCAACCATAACATTATTTTCATTGCTATGTCATAACTGTAATTTTGCTTCTGTTATGAATCGTAAATATCTGATATGCAGGATGCATTTTCATTCACTGGACCAAATTTGGCACAAATACCTGATACACCCAAATTTGAATACTGGTGGAGTTGTGGGGGCGGGGGGATTGATTATGTCATTTGGGAGTTGTAGTTGCTGGAATTTATAGTTCACCTAAAATCAAAGAGCATTCTGAACTCCACCAATGGTGGAATTGTTCCAAACTTGGCATACAGAACTCCCATGACCCACAGAAAATACTGGAAGGGTTTGGTGGGCATTGACCTTGAGTCAGGAAGTTGTAGTTCACCTACATCCAGAGAACACAGTGGACGAAAACAAGATAGATCTGGACCCAACTTGGCATGAATACTTAATATGCCCAAATGTGAACAATGGTGGAGTTTGAGAAAAATAGACTTTGACATTTCGGAGATGTAGCTGCTGGGATTAATAGTTCACCTACAATCAAAGAGCATTCTGAACTCCACCAACGATAGAATTGGGTTAAACTTACCACTCAGAACCCCCATGACCAACAGAAAATACTGTGTTTTCCTATGGTCTTTGGCGACCCCTCTGATACCCCCTCATGCCCCCACCACCACCACCACCACCAGGGGTCCCGACCCCCAGGTTGAGAAACACTGGTATAAATTGTAAGAAAATATGGTTACTGACTTTTCAGTGGTGAAAAGATTTTGGGTTTCTTCATACTACTCAAGGGTTGGAAAGGGCTCCAAGACAACGGCCAGAATCCTATTTGGGAGTTGCATCTTCATAAGTGGACTTACGACAACATGGATTAGAAAGAGGCCATTCCGCAATGTCCATATTCAGTAGAGAGTTGCTGCTGCATTGCTACATAGCAGACCCAACAATGTGACAACAATGTGTAATAGGACAGACATATAATAGAACTGATGTGCAACAGTATGCACATCACATCGATCCTGGTGCACATTGGAAGTAATGTACTTCGGTCACTCTTGTGATGTCCTGTTAACACATGTTCACAATTCATAAATAAGGTTTCTTGGCAGCTAAGCTACTATGATTCCAGCAAAAAATTTTTTAGGGTAGATCTACACTGTAAATAAATGCAGTTTGACACCACTTTAACTACCATGGTTCAATGCTCTGTGGTTTACATGGTCTGTAGCTTTTTCTGCAAAGAGTGATGGCAACTCACTAAACAATAATGCTATAGTTAAATAGCATTGAGCTACAGAAGTTAAAGTGGTGCCAAACAACATTCATTATACTGTGTAAATCAGGCATGGGCAAACTTCAGCCCTCCAGGTGTTTTGGACTCCAACTCCCACAATTCCTAATAGCCTCAGGCCCCTTCCTTTCAGGAAAGGAAAGGGCCTTGAGGCTGTTAGGAATTGTGGGAGTTGGAGTCCAAAACACCTGGAGGGCTGAAGTTTGTCCATGCCTTGTGTATATGCACCTGTTGTCACGAATGAAGGCAATATGTTAACTAGTCTTTGTTAATAACAGGGGCATAGCTTCATTGTATAGCACTATTTTTTCATGTTGAAGATCACACTTTGTGATGTGGGCTGACAAAAATACACCTGCGATCCCCATAAGTCTGACAAATGGTCTCTTTTATTGTAAGGATTTAAATGCATCATGTCCCCAAAATATATACACACTTATGAATCTGGAATGGCTTTTTTGCATTTTTTTCTCACGTGAAACTTGAAGTGTTTTGATGATTGCTGTGCAGGGTCAGCAGTTGGCTTGGTAAAATGCCTTTGTTCAACCACACCTGTTTATTTCCGCATGGCTTTCAAAGCAGCAAAGGAAGAAATACAGCATGTTCCAAAAACCCTGAATATTTTAATTCTGGAATTTTTTTACACACACCCTTAACAGTGTCATGAATGACTTTTCAATAGCTTTGAAGCATAGGTTCATTTTATTGCAATTTCCAGTGCGAGAGGGTATATCAGATTACAGAAAAACATTTAGAAAAAAATGACATTGGACATACGGACATACAGATTCTATGCAACTATGGTGGATTCACAAACAACTTACAGTTACATGGCTAACAAACAAACAAAGGGGAATTACATTTTCACTCAACATTCAAACTACAAGAAAGGAGATTCCATCTGAACACAAGGAAGAACTTCCTGACTGTGAGAGCCGTTCAGCAGTGGAACTCTCTGCCCCGGAGTGTGGTGGAGGCTCCTTCTTTGGAAGCTTTTAAACAGAGGCTGGATGGCCATCTGTCAGGGGTGATTTGAATGAAATATTCCTGCTTCTTGGCAGGGGGTTGGACTGGATGGCCCATGAGGTCTCTTCCAACTCTAGGATTCTATGATTCTACATGTACATGCATTCATCCTCATGCACAGAAATATTCTCCAACCTTGGAGAAGCACTTGTTAGGCCAGACCCTGCTTTCCTGCAGCCTGTCAATGCATAGTTGTTCCATAACTTCAAAATGCCAAAATGCCAAAACTTCTTTCACTAAGAACAATGCCAAGGACCAGATCTTTGTTTTCCATACAGCAGAACCTGACTCCCTGCACAAAATCTAGGACTCTAAAAGCGCATTTCTTCCTCTTCCCTTGAGAAAGAAGCTCCAAAGTGACCAGACTGCTCCCGTGCAAATCTGCCACTCTCCATACATACACCCTCTCTCTCCTTCCCGTGGAGCAGAGCATAGCGGGTGGAACAGACTCCTCAGGTCTGCCACACTTTGAGCATTATTAGACTGAGTCTTTTATAGGAATATTCCGCTTATGTAGTCCCAAAGTTGTAAATTAACGATAGACATCAGTTTCCTGGCCAGATGTTGACTCTTCTTGATTGGTGTTGATCTTATGTTGATTTCCTTCGTAACATTGTAAACATTTCTGTTATCACTGTCCCAGTTCTTATCAGAGTTTACTTTTCTGTTCTTATTAGCAACTTTTAATTACAGTCCAGTCATTGCAGGCCTTAATATTTTACTGGTGCTCCCAAAATTATTAACTCCATACATTCTTCCATTCATTCCCACACATCATATTAATTTTACATTTTACAACTCTGTTCTTCAACAATGCCAGAAATCAATAATAATAATAATAATAATAATAATAATAATCTTTATTTATATTCCGCTCCATCTCACCGAGGGAATTCGGGGTGGATTACAGAACACATATACAGCAAACATTCAATGCAGTTATATAATTAACAAGGACAGACAATACATAAACAGAGGTAAAGGCTTTCCCATCTTTTTCCATCTTTGGTATCTGGAGGCTGTGCTCGACTCCAGCTACAGGGAGGTGCTGTTGCTCCATCTTCCATGCCAAGGAGCTTTGTTGTCCTTAGACGCTCTCCTGATTGAATTTCTTGCATGCCCTTATGGGTACCTCTTATTACCTCCCCGCATAAAGCGGTACCTATTTATCTACTCATATTGCTGTTTTCGATCCGCTAGGTGAGCAGAAGCTGGGCTGAAGGTGGGAGCTCACCCCAACCTGGGCTTGAGCTGTCAACCTTTCAATTGACAAGAATTTTTGCAGCTGGTAATTTAATTTGCTGTGCTAATGCCCGATGGAAACGTGCTGCTCTGTGCAGGGCGTGATAATTTGAATCCCTTATACTGTAATTTACGACGCAATTTCTACCTCTGATTTATTTTATTTATTTTGTATCAAAAGCATTGCATAAATTAGTATAAAACTGATAAAAATAGAAGGAGTGCAGGCGGCTAAATACCTTTTGACCAAAGACGGGCAACAGCAATGGCATTGTCTGTAGCCTCCAACAATTCTTCCTCTGTGCATGAAGCAGGGCATAGGTTGACAAGCATACAAATGCAGAGTTGTCTGTTCTGCTCCACAGTCACACAAGGTGTGGGATTTTTTTAGTGTTGTTGGTTTTTTTTTTTACCTCTGATTGAATCCTTATTGAAACATTTATTCTTTTCATATACGTGTATTTATTTAACCTTTAAATAATCACCATCACTGTTCAAGGCTATATACATTTTGTGGAGACACTATGTATTTGCACTGTGGATTAGCCTTTCCTTATCTATATAAATAAAAATGTAATGTTCGTTTTTGGGATCAACATAGCTCAAAAACCACTGGACGAATTCACACAAAATTTGGACACAATACACCTATCAGGCCAACAAGTGACCATCACTCATAAAAACACTGAAAAACACAGCAGAAGAGACTTTTAAAAGCCAAAAAAAACCCCACTACATTACAACGCATGCGCAAAACCATATATATACACACATACACAAATATATATACACACATATACGCATATATACACACACACAAAACATATATACAAACTAGGCCACAGCAACGTGTGACGGGATGGCTAGTCTCCCAATAAATTAACTGAGGAGATGCATTTTGTCATTGTTTTATGGAACTATCAAGTATTGTCCCATGAAGCTAAAAAGTATGTGAATGTTAACTGGAAATAAATGCTGGTGTAACACAATGTCAGAGACTGTGAATCTTACCTCTACCTTGAATTCACTAGGTGGTCTTAGGCAAAAATATTCTCCCTACTGCAATCTCCCCACTGCCCCACTTCCTATAATAAAGATTTTGATAATATTGGCTTACCTGGCAAGGTTAAAAGGAATGCAGCTAGATAATGCACGTGCTGTGCTTCAAGCATGGAAAAGTGCTTTGCAAGCATGTCTTCTGCAGCATTAGGGGCTCTATTTTCAGAAGTTTTGGATGCTTCTGGGCATTCCTCAGTCAATG